TGGAGGAAAATCCTGAATCTTTTTTGTGTTCAATGGGTGATGCCAAACACTGTAAAGGAAATGCTATATAGCTGGGCCGGTTTCCGTAGAAGAAGCAAGCAAAAGGCGTGGAAGTTCGCCCCGTTAGCTCTCATGTGGTTAGTCTGGGGAGAGAGAAATAGGAGAGTTTTTGAGGGGATTGAGTCTTCGTTTTCACATCTTAAGAATAGTCTTTTATCTCTGATCGCTTTTTGGTGCACACATGTAGCCCCTACTAGTGTAGAAGATTGGGCGTCATTTGTAGGGAATCATGTTCTAATGTAAATTCTCTACTTTTTGTATACTTCTCGTATGCGGGAGTTTTTTCTCCCTTTTGATTAATACAATTTACCTTATCAAAAATAATATGGAAATCGTTCAGCTTGAATTGATAGGTTTCGCGGAAAAAAGCAAAGATCTTTTAGGGCAAGGCGGAATCTTCTTTTTAGACTTTTGAGGATAATCATATATTCTTGCTAGCCTACGATTGAATGTTAGAATATGTAAATGATGTAGACACATCCGTAGATTCTTTATGATAAGTTGTTTCACACTTAGATGTATCAGTTACAAGTTTAACATATGAGTTGAAGGTAGTCGGTTTATAATTGTCAGCACCATCTTAGTGCTATTTTTGCATCTATAAACTATCATACTTTTTAAAAGAAAAAATGTGGGGGGGAGGGGGGGGGCATGAGATGTAGCAGTATATCAGAAATAATGATGAGCCTGATCTCATTTCATCCCTCTCATGTTCTTCTGATCTGGTATCTTATTTTCATATATAAAGTACATGTTAACTAAATTTTCCTGCACAGTAATGCACAGCTCTTTATTTTATCGGTATGTGCAAAAGAACTCTTTTTTTTCCTTTCCTGTTCCATCTAGAAACTTATTTGTTGTACCTGTGGGGTACCTTTGCAATTACTCCTTACTTACTTTGTTGCCTTTAGGTCTACTTTTTCCTTTCCTGTCTGTATTTCTGTTAATCCTTTTTCAGTCAATATAAGATTGCTTTTAGCTTGTTGGAGTCCACCAGTGAAGACTATCAATTTATAATGTAGGTTTATTTGGGGGAAGGAAGCCAAATATTTCTAGAACTGCACTTCACATAGTGGCCAGCATGAAGCGTGATTGGATGCAGGTTATACATGATTTTTCTTTGCGTATAATTTGTGTGTGTGAAAGTTACTAGAGTAATTCTAAGGAACTACATAAAAATCACTTAAAGTTTTGCACTAATCCATAAATTGTCTATAGACAGGGAGAAAGCCTAGTGGGGTATGTGGAGCTGCACTTTACATTGCTGCTCTTTCACATGGACTGAGTTGTTCTAAACCAGAAATTGTAAGTGGTCTTTCTAGATTTCCTTTATATTGATGGTCAGAATTCATATTTTTTTTCTAGACATCCTTTATATTGATGGTCAGAATTCAGATTTCTGTATAGACAGGCTTCATGTTGTAAGTTTTAGTCTGCCTACAACCTATGTGTATCTGAAAGTAAATTGTGTGTGTGAAAGTACGATTTCCTAGTCTTTTTTGTATCTGCACTGACCTAAACTCTCATTTGTAAGGCTTTGCATCTGCTTGATGCCTTTTAATGAAAATATCTTACTTCATAAAAAAATTTATTCTGCTTTGTGAAACTCTTGCTCATTTTAGCTAGTTTTCAAGGACTACTTGTTCTTAGTCACAAAATTTGGATTTTTTCTTGTCATTCGACTTGACAACTATTCGTTATCTACTTTCTTGACTTATTTCATGTCAGTGTTGTCAAAGGTGCGCTTAAAGCGCGCTTAAGCCCTAAAGCGAGGCTCAAAACATGTTGAGCGCTTCGCCTCGCTTTGCGAGCGCTTCAGTGACGCATCAAGGTTCTAAGGCATACTTTTTCTTGCCAATGAGTGTGATCCTGAAAAGGCGACACTAAGCAATTGATATTTTACTTTGTCGTAATTCTTTTTCAATTTCTTTGTCCATATATTTGTTATTTATGCTTATAATTATTGGTCTTGGATTACATATACATATTTTTACTTTTTCTCCAGTTGCGCCTTTTTTCATTAAAGCCCACGCTTTATTTCCGCTTTGCGCTTAAAGCCCCAATAGACCTTAGAGCTTTTTTGCGCTTTTCGCCTTTGATAACACTGTTTCATGTTCAAGCCTATGTAGCACAAACAGTGGCGCGACTCCCACATTTATTGTTTATGGTGACATAGCATAAGGAACATGATATTTCTTTTTTCCCATTTTCTATATTCTTTTGGTCAACAGATCAAAGTTGTGCACGTTTGTGAAGCAACATTGACCAAGCGTTTGATTGAATTTGAAAACACAGAATCTGGGATCTTAACGGTATGTACCATCAAAGCTGGTAGGATGAGACTTCTGATACTTTAATATTCTCTGATTGAAAAGCTTCATGTGCATGTACTAAAGCATGTCTGCAGGCCCTTTTAATTTTTTGGGAGGGACCTTGCTATTAAATTAGAGTCTTAAAAGGCAATGTAATATAGTGAGGTGCTTCTGTCATGCTCAAACTTTGCGTTATGTTTGAGTTCAGGGGCGGACCCACATTGGTTCGAGCGGGTTCAGTTGAACCTGCTTCGTAAAAAGATTAGACTATTTTTATATGTAAATTATTTTTTCAAGCACCAAATGGAGTTAAATAATAAACGTTGAACCCTCTTGACAAAAGTTGAAGCACTGTGCAGTGGTTCAAGCGGGGTCAACAAGAGTGGAATGTTCCAGGGTTCGAATCTCAGTTCTTTCTTTCCACATATATTTTGGTTTTTCCAAAAATTGGTAGATTTAAAAGACCCACCACCCAACTTTACCATTTTAATCTTTGGAAGATTTATTTAAGAATAAAACTATAGAGATTAATCTTTTAAAGACCCAATGTCTAAGATATTATACCATTTACTTAAATATATATGTATTAATTTTTTTTCTCTTTCTGTTAGAGTATTCTTCTATCTCAATTTCACACTTGTTTAGAATTCTTTTAAAGTATTCTGCTTGCCTCTTTCTCGTGGTTTACATAACACTTATTTTTTATTTGTTTAAATTTAACATATTTTCATAGTTCCAAAATTCTTATATTAAAGAAGTTATTAATCCAGTTTAGTTTATAGTTCTCTTCTATTTGTTATTGTTTGCAATAATTAGCTTGTAAAAATAAAATAATTCTGAATTTGTAAAATTTAAACAAATAAGTAGAATTTAGTATTTTGGTATCAATATTGATGTTTGTTAAATAAAATTATTAAAAATTTAATAAATTGTTAAATCTAAGAAAGTAGATAAAAAGTTGTTAAAATTTATCTTTATATGTTTTTAAAAGGCGGCCTCAAAATACGGAAAAAAGAAGAGTAGCGAGCAAAACCTTTTTTGGAGGTTTTGTTATGATCCGAAACAAAGAGGAAAAGGTAAACTATATTTGTTAAGCCTGGTAGTGCTTCTACTGTCAGATGCAGCCGAGGGTTTAGTCTCTATCTGAACCCGCTTGCATAAAATCCTGGGTCCGCCACTGTTTGAGTTGGATATCTTGTGAACACTGAAAACACAAGGAAGAAAGGCAGGCATCTTTAGGGAGAGCAAGCATAACGGGGTTTGGAGTTCATATCTTAAAGTTGGCATGGACAAGGTGTGTAACATAATTTATTATCGTAAAACTTGTGTAGTGCATACACATCAAGTACAGGGAGATGCGTGCTGATGCCATTGAGTGAGCGATTGACAATTTTGCCTCTACTATTGAGTATTTATCAGTGTCACCAGATTCTGGTATGTTATGAAGCCACCCAATACCTGCACCCTGGAAGAGATTTTACTTTCACCTGCCTTTGACTTCTTCCTTCATTTCCCTTCTTGTTCTACTAGTGGAGTCTTAAAAGAACTTGTTCATGGGCTGGGCGCCTCAGCTTCAGGTCAATTTGATGCTCATGTCCAGGAGAAATCATCACCTAGTGATGTGATATTTTTTATGAGCCTGATATATTATTGGTGGCAGTCAAAACAAATTTTCCTGGGGATCTAAAAAGTTAAACTCCCTCCTTTTTCTGATGCATTAATAGTGGAGTTTGATGCAAGTTGCCTCTGTGGTGATGGCTTGTTAGCCAAAAAGTTCCTTTCCAAGTTTCATACTTTTACTTCTTACTTGAAACTAGATTGAGGAGTTCAATACAAGAGCTGAGGAGCTTGAGAATGAAGAGAGGGTGCCCCTGCAACATTGTTCGTGGTCAAAAGGATCTGGGATCACAGAAGTGCTATGTGAACACAAGGGAAGTGTGACGCTGCCCTTTGCCCACGGTCTTTGTGAAAGTTGTTACAGTGATGTAATTACTTGGTTTGGTACCCTGACCTTTTAAGTTTTCAGTAGTATTGCTAAATCACATATAATGCTCATGAATGTGTTTGCAGTTTGTAAAACTTTCAGGTGGACTTGATGGGGGATCTGAACCTCCAGCCTTTCAGCATGCTGAGAGGGAAAGATTAGTGGCAAAAGAAGCTGCTGAGGATCCAAATTTTTCCATGTCCAATAAGGTGGAGAACAATGGCACTAAGTATTTGCAGGTACTCATTAGAGCTTCTACTTATCCAGAGCATTAGTACCTTGTAGTTGGGAAGTAGTATTTATGCTTTCAAGAAAGCTTTTGACTGTTGGAAAAGACGCAAGACAGTTTCTGAAAGTTTGCAATTGGCTGTTTTTGTATCTGCTTTGCTCCCACTGATATCATGTTTTTAGCTTTAGATGGTATTTTAAGGAAGTATCCAGCCTTTCATGTGATTTATTTTTGAGCTGTCTTTTCTTGAATCTAGTTGGTGCTTACTGGAAATATGCAGGCATTTTCTTGCTTTCTGAATAGTGCCTTATGAATTCTCTTTTTGTTTTCTTTTTGTTGATAATCAGCCTGAAAAGGGAAGGAACACTCAGAATGTGACCGGGGAAAACAATGTGCAGATATCAGGGTCTGATCAGATAGGTAAATGTTTATTTTCTTCCAGAGTTAGAATGTTGGGAGAGAGTTCAGGATCAGGACCATAGAATAAGTTGCTTTCTCTCAATTGCAGGGGCATTCTCAGTGGCTAAAACTGAGCATAATGCGACTCGTGATACATTACATGGCACGGATTGTATGGGTCCTGATGATCATGATGAATCAGGAATTTTTTTTGATATCGATGATGTAGAGGTGTGCTACTTCTTCTTTGTTGGTTTTCATTTAGTAGGGGGTAACTCCACTGGTCAGGGTCCTTGAAAGTTCTATTTAAAAGCTGTGATTTTTGATGGATTTCATCCTGCCAGACCTCATTGCATGATACTTAGCAAATGATAGTGTGATACTAGCTTACCCTACTTTTCATCCTTTGCTTAGAAGGCATCATCCCATAATAAGTGAACTTTGTGTTATAACAAATTTGTTGGTGAATATTATCAAAAACTATTCTGCTTCAATGGAATGTGCTGCAACTTGTTCTATGAATTGCAGTTTACCTGTGGCAACTGAATTTAGTTGCACATGTTAGTTTACAGATATGTATAGTGTAGTCTTGTCCCACATTGGAAGAGGAGTAATATCTCCTTGTAGTGTATAGCTATAAATAGGGACCTCTTATATTGTTTTTTTTTTTTGATCGGTAAAGAGCATTATATATAATAAAACCAGCAAGAAGAAGTTGCTGGATGGATGGGTTACAAGAAATGAAACTACGTTACAAATTGTGTAATGTGCTAATAAAGTCAATCATGGCACAAGTGTCAGAAACACGTACATCTGCCATGTTACACCAAAAACTAAGCAAAACAATACAGTTGAGTTTAATATCAATGACTCTATTCTTCCTACTACCATACAACCTATCATTTCTCTCTTTCCAGATGCACCACCAAATTGCAGCCGGTATAGTATTCCAAATTTTGATAGAAGGTCGTTGAATATCTAATTTGTGCCACCCTTGCAACAGCGGAAGAGTTGAAAAGGGCATACACCAAAAAATGCCCAAGATATTGAGGAAAAGGTCCCAAATTTGGGAGGTAAATTTACAGTGGAGGAAAAGATGGTTGACGTCCTCCAGCTGCTCTTCACATAACACACATCTGTTGACAAGTTGCATACCCCTTCTCTGTAGGTTGCTTTGTGTTAGACAAGCTTCTCTAGATACCAACCAGGAAAAACATTTAACCTTGGGAGGGGCCAGCCCCTTCCAGATGGGTTTCCAAGGCCAAGGAGTAATTAGTGGGTTAGATTGTGTCAGAATAGCATAACATGATTTCACCGAGAATGTGCCTTTCCAATTTGATGTCCAGATGAGGCAATCAGGCGTAGGAGAAGAAGAAGAAGAAGAAGATCTATGGAGAAAGTCCAAGAGACTCAGATACCTATCCACCTCCCAGTCGTTTAGGTTTTTCCTGAAATTGATGTGCCAACCATGATCCAATCTGAAGTCTGAAATGAGAGCATTTGTCGAGGAAGTGATTCTGTAAAGGTCTGGGAAGCTGTCTTTAATAAGAGAGTTGCCATGGCAAATATCATGCCAGAATTTAGTCTTTCTACCATCGCCCACTTTTATTGAAGAGTGCAACATGAAGAAATCCCACAGCATCCTGATATGTTTCCAGATACCAAGTCCTAAAGGAGTAGGAGTAGGTTTGGTGGTCCAGGGATCAAGAAAACCATACTTGGAGCTAATTACAGCCCTCCAGAGAGAGTTTTCTTCTTGATTGAAACGCCAGATCCACTTATACATTAGGCTACTGTTATGCGCCGCCGCCTTCAAATCCCTAATCCCCAGTCCTCCAAACTTCTTACTTCTGATGACTGTGTTCCACTTGACTAAGTTAAAGGATCTCCTATCTTTGTTACGTTGCCAAAGGAAGTCCCTACGGATTTTATCCAACCTTTTGGAGACACTTGCGGGCATTGGAAAAAGAGCCATGGTGTAAGTGGGTAAAGAATCCAGAACACTGTTGATCAACACCACTCTCCCTCCCAGTGAGAGATATTGTCTTTTCCAAGTAGACAACTTTCTCTCGCATTTCTCTAACACATCACTCCAGATAGATATAACATTAGATTTGGCCCCAAGAGGAAGGCCCAAATAATTTGCAGGAAGAGAACCGCTGTTGCAACCCATAATATCAGCCAGAAGTTGCATATTAGGAACCACATTGATAGCAAACAAATGGCTCTTTAGATAATTTTGATATGCAAACCCGACACTGCCTCGAAAGCCAAAAGAATCACTCTAAGATAAAGAACTTGATCAACAGCAGCATCACATAGAATCAAAGTGTCATCCGCGTATAAAATATGTGAGATGTCAATAGTGGAAGGCCCATTTACACAAGTAGAGAATCCCCTGATCCAGTTGTTTTGCATTGCCACAACTATCATCCTGCTTAAACCTTCCATTACCAAAATAAAAAGAAAGGGAGTCTCCTTGCCTGAGGCCTCTTTTTGAGGGGAAGAAGCCCTGAGGAGATCCATTGATAAGTACCGAGAATCTGACAATGGAAATGCACCAATAAATCCAATTGGTCCACTTGCTACCGAAACCCATATCCTTTAGAATGTTTAAAAGGAAATTCCAGTGCACATGATCAAAGGCTTTCTCAATATCCAATTTGCAAAGTATACCTGGTATACCCTGCCTCTTTCTTGTATCAATACATTCATTGGCAATTAAAGATGCATCAGGTACCTTATACAATATAAAAGGTACCTGATGCATCTTTTTTTTTTTTTTTAAATACAATTTACCTTATCAAAAAAAAAGATGCATCAGGTACCTTTTATATTGTATTTATCATTTAATATCAATAACATATTTTCTCTCGTGCCTTCCCACATGGTATCAGAGCATTAGTGAGAAACTCGTCGTTGTGCATCATTCCAGCGACTTCCGGGAAGAAAGACCTCTTCGCCGTGTAATTTTCCGGCGACTTAGAAGGTTGTCCGTAAGCAAATCACTTTCTGTTGGTGTTGTGCAAAAACTAACACCACCACAAGACTCTTCAGGCTCCGGCGACCAAACCCCAGTCAACCCCACCGGAAAACACACGTTCACGCGCACTCACGCGCCTGGAAAAGAAAAAAAATTCCGGCGAGATCGGACTCACGCGCCGGCGCATGAGCACTGTTCCGGCCAGATTTTGAAAAGGTTCCAGGTGAACAGTAGGATCGCCTGGTAATTCTGATCCTACCCTCACTGGTTTTGTTTCATTCTGACCACTTTGAGTTTTTCCGTCAGCTACAGTAGATTCTGGCGTGAACAGTGTTTCCGACGCAGAAACACTGTTCTGTTTTCCTGCTGTAAATAGTATTTTTCAAGCTATTTCTTCAGTTTTCTCACCGGAGTTACTTAGTTCCACTATTTCAAGTTAACCCTACTACTACATCTCGTAGCGACATGGGAACCAATGCTTTGAATAGTCAGATGGTTTGTTTAGCAGATTATATTGAGTTCCTTCAGTACAAAGCATGTAAGCAGACATCTTCTGAGATAACTTCTATTGTTCAAACAGGTAATAACGTGACTTGTTTCTCCCAATCTTCATCCTCTGAGTCTTGGGTCATTGATTCAGGTGCATCAGATCATATTTCTGGTAACAAATCTCTTTTCACTACTATTTCGTATTCTCAATCTCTTCCAAAAGTCACAATGGCCAATGAGTCTCAAACCATGGCAACTGCAATAGGTCAAGCAAGCCCACTTACTTACTTACATTTAGATTCAGTCCTTTATGTTCCAAATAGTCCTTTTTATCTTATAGCTGTTAGTCCCTTAGCCAAATCACTTAAATGCGCTGTTTTATTTCTTGATAACCATGATTTTATACAAGAACGCAGTACGGGGCGGATCAATTGCACTGGGCGTGAATCAAACGGACTTTATTACCTTATCCTTGCTAAATCACATGGACTCACATCTTGTCTTCCTTCTACAACTTGTCCTGTTACTGATTCACCAGATTTATTACATAAACGGTTGGGACATCCCAGTTTGTCAAAACTTCAGAAAATGGTA